GGTAGTAAATATCTGTCTGGGGATGGGGAGACACCCCTTATCAACAAGGGTGCCTGAACAAAACATATTTGCATGCCTAACCCTTAACTGTACCCCACAATATCAAAATAAAAAAATATTGATTAATAAAAAAGAGAGCGAGAGAGACTCACAAGCGTCCCCTCTTCTCTGAATCCTTGTCTTGACCTTCCTGCCCTGGTAGAAGTGACCACTTCCTCCTTTATCGTCTATCTAAAATCCTAAGCACATTTCTAATGTAGCAAATCTAACACTTTATGGTACTTTTATATGTTTTTCACTGTCTCCCCACTAAAATACAAACTTTAGTATCAAGAACAGAGTTTTATTCATTCCAGTAGCAACAGTGCCTCCAATATTCCTTAATTCAGGTATGATTTTTTTAAGTTTTTAAAACTAACTAGTTGATAGCATTTTCCTCATTAAAGTAAAAATTGATAATTGTTTATTTTGCCATATTCTCCGTAGTTGTGTTAACTTAGGATTCTAAGATAACTCATAGGACTACAGGGTATGTCAAAAATTAATAGTAATGACTATGCCACGTTGGTAATAATAATATTAGTAGTAACTAACACTCATTGATTGTGTACATATATATAGATATATATGTGTGTGTGTGTACCCCATATTCTGATAGGTGCATAACTTGCATTATTTCATTTAGTAGTCCCAACAAATCATGCTGTAGGTACTATTGATATCACAATTTTGTATTAGGAATTAAAGTTCAAAGAAGTTAACTTGACTAGAATCACACAGTATACATGTGACTCCTTAACCTATGGACTCTTTCCCCCACCTCCCAAAGGGTGGCAAAATGCTGCCGTGCCTCTGTCTCATTAATTTAATAGACATATAGATAGAATATAAGAAATTTATGAAAATAGTACTGCATCCTATGTGCATTTGTAGTCTGTTCTTATTTTTTCTAGAGTAGTAATTCCAAGACAGGATGAATTTATCTTTGTTAATAGAAGTTAAATGTAAAAATAATACTATTGCTGCCTGGTCGTGGTGGCTCAAGCCTGTAATCCCAGCACTTTGGGAGGCCAAGGCAAGAAGATTGCCTGAGACCAGGGGTTTGAGACCAGCCTGGGTAACTTGGTAAGACCTTGTCTCCACAATAAATCAGAAAATTAGCCAGGCATGGTGGCGCATGTCTGTAGTTCCAGCTACTTGGAAGGCTGAGGCAAAAGGATTGCCTGAGCCCAGCAGGGCGAGGCTGTGGTGGCCGTGAGCATGCCATTGCACTCCAGCCTGGGCGACAGAGACTCCAGTTCAAAAACAAAAAACAAAAAACAAAAACTATTACTATTTTTTTTTTACAAAGGGAATGTGTGTCTTTTTAGCATTCGTTTATAATTAATTGCCTTGTAACTAGCCAATATTTTAAACTTCTCAATATATTTTTTAATAGCATTTTAAATTTAAAATGCAGTTTTAGGCAGAGATGGTAATAAATGTTTCAAAAATCATTTTGTGTAATTCTAAGAAGAATATAAGCGTTTAAAAGGAATTTCTAACCCTTTCAAGTTATCCTAGTTTTCAAGTTAACAAAAATGCTTCTTTTATGTAACTTCTTAAACTTTTTTTTCCTATGGCTGAGTGTTGCTATGAATGCTCTTTTCCAATATTTTTCTTCAGAGAAAAAAACTAATATGTTGTGAACACTGTCCCACATAAACAATTTTTCTACAGCATGAGTTCCTATGGCTATACAATTTTACTTCTGTGGAATGTACCTTAATTTACTCAACAAATAACTTTGGCAGGTAAGCACAAAAAATACATTGTTTCCAAACTGGAGCTATTATAGGTATAACTGTGATCTAAAAAAAAAAAAATACTTGTACATAAATCATCTGCAAATAAGAGACCACCCAGATTAAAGTCACTAAAGTGAAAAAAAGTGTTGGCTAAAAATTCCAGGTTAA